GAACTCGGGTCCTTGTGCTTGACAGCCAGGCAGTGGAACCACTGAGTTAAATCCCAGGCCCTAGGCAGTATATATTTTAAAAAGTTTTCTATTAAAAAAAACAAAACAAAAAAAAAGTGATTCTTTATATGCCACACTATTTTGTGTCTTTCCAAATTTCTTACCTAAAATATTTTCACTAAATTTATAATTTTTAAAAGGAACTTTTTTTGTTGTTATTTTAAGAAGCCTTTTAAATGACAATACTACATACTGGTAAAACCAACTTAATATATACTTCATACACCCAAACCCTAAATACCACCTATGCAGATGAATGGAGATTTGGCATTTAAAGTGTGTGCACTGACATTTCATACACTTTTTTGTATGTTTAATCCATAATTTCTGACTCATTTAAAAATGTAATAAAAATAATAAGCAATTGGCAATGTAACAAGGATACAATCCAATGTGTTCACAGATGGGTTACCTGTGAGACTGGTGCTTTAACATGGGGTGGAATTCCAGAGGAAGAAACAGTACCACTAGGAGGCAGGTTTTTACTGGTCACTGAAGCCCAGGAGAAAGCCTGCAGGAAATGCAACAAACCTAGACTACTAATCATGGAAAACCACCAACATTCCTATAGGGAAACTCCCAAATACATATTTTCTTTTCATTTCTAAACTATGGCTCTATATTGGAGGATTCCTAACAGGCACACACACACATGCCAGTCTATGTGCCAGCTTTCAAAATCTCATTACGCAAGATTATTTATAATTGTTGTCTCAGCTACTAAATAGAACCACAAACAAGTTCCTACATATTCTAGGTAGATGAGTAAGTGGTGAATACAACCACTAACAACTAAACATGCTAGAGAACTCTGAACCTGATAGAACCAAGTTCTTTCTCCTTTTTTGGAGGAAGATAGGGTGTGTGGTGGTGTTAAAGGGAAGGGGGAAGGATAGGAAAGAACAGAATACTAGCTGGAAACTAACAGACATCCACAAATTGAACAAGGAATCTTCTCCTCTTGCTATCCAAATACTCTTTACCCTACTTTACAGAGAGATAAAAGAAGTTTTGCATACAACACTGTGGGTGTCACTCACCTTTACAGGATGGTTTAATTGGTGAAGTAATAAGAAAACTGATCCTATCTCAGAGTATCTCAATTAAAGACCAACATAAGCAGGGAAACTGCATGATTACTGGTACAGCTGGGCTTAGAGGATGTCACCCAGAAGGGAAGAGCAGCTGACAACCTTAGATGGATTGAGAGGTGGGGTGGGGGTGATTTCATCTATGTCACTAAACTGCATCAGATCAAGGCTAATCTTTTATAAATCCCACTTTTAGGAGCTTTTTTTTGAAATGCCACTGAAACATTCCTCAGGGTAACAACACCACAGCTTCTTTCATATACATCAAAAAGCATAGTTTGCTATATTACTCAATTTAACAAAATAGAACAAAAGTCACACTGCATTGATATGAAATATTAAATATGAACCAAATATGAAAGTGTGAGGTCAAAGATCTGAAGAGTTCCACTGATCTAACCTTTGGTGGTTCTTGGGGCAGAGAAACAGGCTCTGCAGGGGGAGGAGTAGTAGACTTCTCCTCCAGTTCTTCTAAATTCTTCTCCTCCACTTGTGGTTTCAACTCTTCAGTCTTTGTTTCAGATTCGGGCTCAGGTTCAGGTTCATGAGAGGATTCTTCCAAAGGCTCTTCTATGCCGTTACTACAAATGATCAGTTCAAATAAGATAAAATTCACTTTCTCTCCAATCTAATGGGCACAAGCAGCCATATGCCAATAGCTTGTTCTACATCGGTGTTTTGTGGTACTGGGATGGAACCCAGGACAAGTTTGCATATGCTAGGCAAGGACTCTGCATTACCAGGAATGTTTAATGCTCACTATAAACCCTGAATTTTTCAACAGTAAAATTTTGTAAATATAAAATGCTCACTTTGTGTTGTCCTATACACTCTACATTATCAGTAAGTGACCACTGCTTTGGTGAAAATTATGTTTAAATTTTGAATTAAGTAAAACAATTCTTTCCACATTTACTGATTATATACATATAAATAGTTTTATAGAAAATTTGCTTCCAGAGGCTAAGGGTGGAGCTCAGCAGTACAGTGCACCCATAAGAAACCCTGATTTGACCCTTCAGCTACAGTAGACTGTATGTGACCAGACTGAATGTGACCGGAAGTCTTGTTCTTACGTCACAGGGTGAGCTTCATAGTAACCACTATTAGCATTTTCTTGCACAGGTTCAGGAGATGGTTGTCTTTCTTCTTGCTCCTCTTCCACTTCATCTTCTGATTCTGACAATACACAGTGCATGACATCTATTTAAAAAACAGTCTCCATAATTTCTAACACATATTTTTAGTATGTTTAAGGAAATGGTATGGTAATATAAAAAATTGGAAACTCTTTACAAAGTCATCCAACTGCAATATTTCCTGTTCTCTCAAAAAACTGAGAACAAGCAGAATGAAGTTTGATTTTTTTACTCCACTTTACTTTAACAAAATCTATTAGCAATAAAGGAAAAAGTAGGAAATAATGTCTATAAGTTCCATATTTATAAAAACTATAGTCCTTAAAAGAGCACTGACAGAACCCTTCTATCTTCAGAGTGACCTCACCTTCATCAAGTTCTGGTTCAGAATCACCAAATACTTCATCTTCATAACGAAACATATCATTGTGAACATAAAATTTATTTGGAACAGACCCCTACAGGAAAGCAACATGCAAATATTTCATGAATATCCATAAAATTGGTATTATGTTAAAAGAACAAATTATATGGCATACACAATTTCAATTTTAATACCACAGAAATAATCTGGATAAACCTAATTTTCCAAAGCTAAACATGCTGTTAATATAAACAAAACTAAAAAAAGGATCACCGAGGGCTGGGGATGTAGTTCAGAGGCACTGCGCCTGCCTAGCAAATGCGAGGTCCTGAGTTCGATCCCTTGTACTGGAACACACACACACACACACACACACACACACACACACACACACACACACAAGGATCAGAGCCCAAGAAACTTTTCCAATAGAAAAGAATCAAGACCAATTCATAAACAGACCTTTACCTTTTTTTCAAAATATTATCTTTTAAATATACCAAAGAAATTTTTGTATTATTTCTATAATCTTAATAATCTATTCACACATTATCAGCATCTAAATTTTAATTCCAAATAGTTAAAGCAGTGCACACAAGTTCATATAAGTTATATCAATAGGTCCAATAAAATGGTTCAAAAATAGTAGTATGCAAATATAAACCTATTAAAAGAACTCTTAGTTCAACACAGTAATAGCAACCAAATTTAATCAGGTAAGTGAAATGTAAACTTACTTCTGGAGCCAAAACAAAAGTCTGCATGAATTTCCTTTCTGGCTGCCCACTATTAGACAGCAGGCCCATGACTTGGACAACAACTCCGTCACTCAAGGTGGCATGTGCATCCACATGGCGGATCTTTGTATGGCATTCACTGAAGTTCAGAGATAACACTTTGTGGTGTATGTCCTATATTGGAAAGGTGAGGAGGAAATGCAAAGTCTTGTGATTCTGCATTACCTGCACAGTACTGTTACCTCCCTTGCCAACTTCCTCAATGGAATGCTAACATCTTCATTTTCCTGCTTCATCTGACCCATTCCACCATGGCACGTGCCTCTCTGTAGACTGCTGCTCCTAACTATGTTGAGCATGTCCATTCTATGCAAGAAATAGACCTCTGACACTGTGCAGTCATCTGGCTTTACACTGCTTTCTCCTATAGTTTGGTAATAAGTGAATCATTCTCATGAACTATACACTATACTGACTGCTCCTTGACTTTACACCTAATTTTATTTTACTGTGATGATTGCTGATGTCATTTTTCTGCTTCTGACTTCTTTGCTAAGGCCAAATCCTGGATTCTACCTGAAGTTCCACATTCTCTACAAAGTCTTCCTTCTCTGTGAAGTTGTAAAGAGTACATATTTCTGTGCATTCCTGAGACACAAGGTTTGGTCCAAATTTGTAGAAATTTCATACACTAGATTTCATACCAAGGACATGCAACATTTCATTTTCTCCTGTGTCCATCCACTCCAATATAATACCATTTTTCATAGAAAATCAATGTTTAAGAATTTAAAACACATTTAACAATTACGGAAACTCTTTCTGGTGAGTTTCTAATGATCATACTGAAGAAATTCATGAGCACAAGAAGGCTATTTTTGAACTATCTCCTTCAGTGCTATTATTTGTTTCCTTGTAAGTGAGAATCTTTCTTGTCTATGTCTTATACTGAATAACTACTTTGGAAAGGATACAGTTTTACTTACTTGTTATTCGTATGTTTTTTTTCATAAAAAAAAGAAATTTCTATCAACACAAAAAGACATTTAAAATATATGGAATGACTTACATTTTGGCCATAAACAGCTTCCTGGGGCTTTCCACTGGCATCCACTCCTCCATGAACATAGGAAGAATTCCTGCCATAAAACCTGCAAAATCATTCATAACTATACATTTTCAATGCATTATCAAGAGGAGTAAGTCTAAGGAGCAATAGAGTTCTACCGTTGAAAATGAAACTAGGGTCAAGGTATAGCTCTGCCACTAATTAGACATTACTTAACTGTCACCTGTAAATTCACTTCCCTTGGTTATAAAACTATCTCTATAGGTTTTCATAAGGATTCAATGAGTACCACATAGAATGCTTAGTCTGACTGGCACAGTAAGTAGATGATCATTAGCTACTCTCATCTAATTCACATCACATCTTTATTTTGTGAAATGGAAGAATGAGATAAAGTACACTCTAAAAACAGATGCTGTAATACTTGAACCATATTTTTCTTTAGATAGAAAAACTCACTGACCTAGATTTCTCTCAGGATCTAATGCTCTGTTTAATACTCAGAGTTCCAATTTACTAATTCTTTTTTTTTTTTTTTTTTTTTGAGACAGGGTCTTGCTATGTAGTTCAGGCTTATCTTGAACTATGAAGCCCAGGTTGGCCTTGAACTCACAGTAATCCTCCTCGCTCAGTCTCTGGAGTGCTGGGATTACAGGTGTGCACCACCTGTAATTAGATTACTAATTCTAAAGGCTTATAACAAGACAGTTTAGATCTAAAATAACTGAAATAATCCAGACAAGTTAAATATTTTTATGCTGCTCTTAAGTACATGACAAATTAGACTTTTCTCTGGCAAGATGTAAAGCAGTAATAATTAATATCTTTCCAAATTAAGGTTATCAAAGATAAAAATGTAAACTTTTTCAAACGATGTGATGGTGCATGCCTATAATCCCAGCACTTGGGAAGCTGAGGCAGGAAGACCATTACAAGTTTAAGGCCAGGCTGGGCTACACAGTGAATTCAAGGGTGCCTAAACTACCTGGTGAGACCCTGTTTAAAATTTTTTTTTTTTCCCCAGTACTGGGGATCGAACTCAGGACCTTGTGCTTGCGAGGCAGGCACGGCGCCAGAGCTAAATCCCTGGGCCCTAAAAAAAATTTTTTAAATGTTAACAGAAGAGGTTAAATGAACTCCTCTATAGTCATATACCTATCAAGGAGGGGAGCTAAGACAAAATGCCAGTCAGTTTGGCTCCAGAGTCCATGCTTTTAACCACTCTCTTCTAATTTTTTTTTTTTGGTACTGGGGATCGAACTCAGGACCTTGTGCTTTCCAGGCAGGTGCGGTGCCGCTGAGCTAAATCCCCGGCCCTCTTTTTTTATATGTACTTATTTCCTCTCCTATACTACTGGCAGGCTGTAAACTGGCATTACTTTTCCAAAAGACAATTTAGCAGAGTAACTGTGTGTATAGGAAAAGCCTTAGAAATGATCCTATCTTTGATACAATCAATTCTTCCAAGAACTTAAAAATATAATCGATCAGTAAGGTAAACAAAAATGCCTATCTAAGGAAAGTCATTATAGTGTTTATACTAGTGAAGATTCTAACAAACTAAATTTTCATTAAGATGGAAAGTGGTTAAATAAGCTAGGTATAAAATAGAAGTCTGTGCTGTCACTTAATATGAGAGTGTAGTTTTTTTTTAGCATATGTGTTGCTGAAGAGAGTACTGTATAGACTTTTAAGCTTTTGTCATCACAATACTTTAAAAATGCTAATACTGTACTCATATTGTAAGAAGACCTAATCTGAGACACTGAATTAATTCCACTTCCAACTCTTTCACATATGATATCAACAAGTACATCTGTTTTTAAAATTAGAAAAACATAGCTTTTCATTGTGAGATATTTTTCAGGAGAGGGTGTTACTTATACTTTTTAGATACACTACACTCAAGAACAGTTGGGCTCTATAGCCAAAATTAGGCCTGTATACTGGCTACAAACAGCTCATTTACTGAGTGATCTTGTAATCTTCCTGAGTTACCTGCTGCAGCTGTTTAATAGGTAAAGTGAGATAATTACACTATCTACACTTTATAAGATTGCCCTAACAATTTCATGAGATAATATGGGTACGTAGAGTATTCATGAACAGAGCCAAGCAAATTGTAAATATAAAAAAATGCTTCCTGGATTAAAGTAGAGAACATGTTCAAGAGTATAGGACAAAACTGCAAAATCTTTCAGAATGCCCAACTTTTAGAAGACCAACAGACATAGGAATGTCTTTTTATTTTTTCTGGTACTGGGGATTGAACTCAGGACCTTGTGCTTGTGAGGCAGGTGTGATGCCACTGAGCTAAATCCCCAGCCCAGGAATGGAAGTCTTTTAAACCACCTTTCCCAGAGAAAGCTGCAATGATATACAGTTTCCTTAACTCAAACAGCTAGTGTGTTCAACAACAAAAAAAGTCTTATTACAAGACTCACATTTTTCTTCTACTTGTTAAGACACACCCAGAAGAACAAAATTAACAAGAACTACTGACAACATAATCTAATTTCAATCTCTGCATTTGTTTGTGTGTGGGAACCTTAACAGGTTACAGGTATACAAGTCTTGCCAAAGTAGTGAACAATGCTATTGTTTCTGTTAGTATCTGCAGATTAAAAGAAATAAAAATTTTCACAAGCATACATAACTTTCACTTTCCAACACTGTGAGAACTTTTAGGATATGCACTGCCAAAGTGAGCGCCACACTGTGAGAACTTAAGAAGATGATCTGAACCATTACTTTCACTGCCCTGGTACTGGGGATTAAGCCCAGGGACATGTGAAGCTACTTCCTCAGCCTTTTTTCTTTTCCTTCAAATTTTGATGCAGGGTCTTACTAACCTGCCCAGGCTAGCCTTGAACTTGTGATTCTCCTAGTCTAGCCTCCCAAGTAGCTAGGACTACAAGCATGTTCCACCACTCCTGCCTCTAAGCCACTGGTTTCTAACTGCATATTGGGAACCTATCAACCTTTTTTTTTGTGGTACTGGAGACTGAACCCAGGGTTTTTGCCCTGAATTGCATTCCCAGCACCCACCCTTTATTTTCAGACAAGGTCTCACTAAGGTTCCAGGCTGAGCTTGAATTTACAATCCTCCTGCCTCAGTATCCTAGAATTATGCATGCACCACCATGCCCAGCTTATTTTTTCAAATAAAACATAAAATATCAGTGTATATAAAAAATGTGTGTGTATAGATATGAATGTGTTATATACTGGGACATGATGTTTTTCTTACTGTGCTCAGCAGTCAAAAAACAGAAAAAATACTGGTTTAGCCATAATATGATTAAAATATTAGATATGGTTTAGAGATGTTTGCAAACATACTGTCAAGTTATGAGACAGCAAAGGTAAAATATCCAGTTATATCAAGTAAAGCTAAATAAAAATGCTCAATGATTTGCATCAAGCTCACCTGTGTAAGTATTCTGGTGCTTTATTCAGCAAAGTATAATACTGCCTCACGAACTCCCGCCCCACCAGCAGCGGGCTGGGCTTCTCCATAACCATTTCTTTGCTGCCCAGGGTCAAACGCTGGGGGAGAAGCACAAGAGTAACAACTATTAAAAGTCATCTTTATTAACTACATGATATAAACTTTACTTTTCCTAGACAAACAAATGAGAATATAAAGAGAATTAACATCATTTATTAAAAAGTAATAACAGCAGAATAGTTAAGTTCCCAGCCTACGTTTGCAACTCCCTTTGTCCCAAGAAAAATTAGTAAAGTATAAACAAAACTTCTTATCACTTACTTTATGTTTATAGCCTTCGGAACAGTCAAAATTAGAATAATGTCGGAATTGGGATAAAAGAAGGAAAAAATGTGAAAATTTAAATGACTTGTTTTTTAGTGGGAAAAAAAAAAAACCCCATACAAAAAAATACCAAAAACCCAGACAGACATAATTGGGCGAGGGCACAGTGCAGAGGTAGAATGAGTACTTTGCAGGCACAGGCCCTGGATCCTCCACAACACCTATATAAGCGTGCACTCACAAAGCATCTGTCTCTCATAACATCAAGCATCCTTTCGTTTTACATTTAGAAGCACTGAAATTTTACCACAAATCTGAGTGTATATCTATTGGGCAAATCAGAATGCAGCTAAATTTCTATTTAACAAATTCCAATGTAGATTTCTTTTAAAAAACAAATTTCAAAGGCAAACACAGCCTACAATAGTCATTACAGTATGATGCTGTTTTCATAAACACCAGGTATCACCTATGATTAACACATACAGAGAAAACTACATAGCTCCATACCCTTCCAGTCACTTCTAATTCAACTGGAAATCATGGTCTATTATGTTCCTTGATTCTCTTACCTTCTCCTAAAACTCAAAATCAAACTATACACATCTCCCAATCTGCTTATGCACTTATATAATGCCTAACTTCTTTAAAAAAATAGTTAATACACAGAACAAATCCAGATACTGCTATTTGGAGTCCTTCTGGTTTCCCCAAACCTAAAACTCCCAATAAAGGTAACAACCCTAATGCATTAGAGGACTCTGAGTGGTAAAGGCTTGCCTAGCATGTGCCAGGTTTCACCCCCAGCACCACAAAAATAAGACCAAATAAAGTATGAAAGCTAAGTAACAATGTTTTCATTTCAAATATGGGAGAAAATGAAGAAGACTTACCTAGTAAATTTTTACTCATATTTCAATACTGTAACAAAGTACTGAGAAATGAGATTATATAAATTATCCTCTGCATAAAACAATTATCTACAAAATACTTTTTCTCAAGCTGTCAGTGACAAATGCTATTAGAGACTATTTCTGATTTTAAGATTACTTTTTTCTTTTCATCTCTGTATTTCCAATTTTTTTTTTGGTACCAAGGATGGAACTTGGGACCTTGCGCTTGCAAGGTAGGTGATGGAACCACTGAGCTAAATCCCTAGCTGTATTTCCAGTTTTTGTACAGTAATACTGTTGTAACTTATCCCAAACTTCCCATCACATTCGTAAAGTACACTCATCTACTAAAAATAAAAAAGTGAATACACAAATTGTTCCAAAGAAAAGTTAAAAATATTGGATACATTAAAGATTCATTATAACAAAGTTTGAGTCTTCAAAATGCTAGCCATTCACAATCACTAAAGCACATAGGTCATGATAGCACTGATTGCAACTGAAGAAAGAAAGGGTACAGGGATAACTAACACTTGATTTATCCTTATTTTGTAAGGTATTACTTAGCATAACTCATTCAACAGAGGAAACATGAGGAATGACAAAGTATATAATGAGCTATGCAGAGTCCACTTTTTTAAGGCATAGAAGAGACTCCCACAGGGGATGATAAAACCAAATGAAAATGTTACTATGAAAAAGGTGCTTTAATTAATTACACAGTAATTACAGATCACTTATCTTTTACCATAATTTAAATGACTCAGAATTTAGAAAGTCGAAAGCTGAATGAATGAGACAAAAATTCATTCCATTTTCCAGTGCCTACTAAGTATGTGTCAGAAACTGCAAGAAAAAAATTATGGACTGCAAGGCCCCAAGTTTGATCCCTGGTACCAAAAAAAAAAAAAAAAAGGGTGAACAGGACATGCTCTCTGCCTAAAGAAAGTAAAAGTCCAATGAGACAGGATTCCTAAATATGGTGATCTTACTGATGGTATAGCTATTATAAGAACACCATGAAGAATGTAGTATTCAAATCGGAAGAGAAATAAAAATCTGACATGTAGGAAATGAGAACTGAACCTTCTAAATCATACCTAAATAAGAAAAATAATTTTTATAAAATAGCTGTCTCAGAACATTTAAAAAACCTACTCTGAGTCTAACTCTAAGTCTACTGGCTTTCCTAGTTAGCTCCTCAAAGTAAGATTCAATCATTCCTTCCTTTTCTCAAGTATCACAGATGTTATACCTCTTCTCTAGCTCCTTCTGAATGTCCAGTCTGACCATTCCCCCTACACAAATACACTCTTACACTCCTAGGAGATGCTCAAAAGACATTTATCTTGCATTTTCTACACTACTTTGCATGTAAAGGGATTAGACAAAATTTTATGAATATAGTACTAAAGACATCTTCAGAAGACAGAAATAAGGCTGAGGATGTAGTGCATTGGTGCAGCACTTTCCTAGTGCATGTGAGCGAGGCTCTGGGTTTGATCACTAGCATCATAAAACCAAAATCAACCAACCGAGACCTCCCCCAACCCTGAAAACAGAAATAACCTACCTAAAACACCAGAGTAAATAATAAAAGTTGTCATGAGGAATGGTGATGATTAAATAATTTAATCATGCAATTTCAAAATGCTTTTAAAGTCCATCTTATCTTATGCTCCTGTGCTTAACTATATGTAAAATATACGTAGATGCACACATTTACAAGAAACTTTATTACTATAATATTAAGTCAGAATTGAAATCTTGAGATTAACTACAAGTCCAAACTAAGTACAGGTTAGTACAAATAATTTTAAAGGATTTTTGAAATAACAAATTTTCAGAAATCTGGCATTAACATAGGCACGAACACAGAGTTAATTTGTCCCCAAAGATACCCAAATAATTCAGTGTTTTATCAACAAAGTCATTCTAGAACACATGACAGTCACAGTTAAAAGCAGGTAAATAAGTTTGAGAGCTGGGTGTGGTAATGCAAGCCTGTAATACCAGCTCTTGGGAGGCTGAGGCAGGAGGATCACAGTGAGTTCAAGGCCAGCCTGGGCTACATAGTGAGTTTAGGGCCAGCCTGAACTACAAAGGGAGACCCTGCCTCAAAAAACTAAAGAAGTTTGACCTACCATGTACCAAAATTAACTGGAAATGAACCACAAGACTTCGTCATAAAACCCAAAACTCCAGGCTTGTAGAGGAAACAAAGGAGAAAATCTTTTTGACTGTATGTGAAGATTTTAGGCAAGACACAAAAGCACACATACAAAAAAGAAAAAAAAATCCTGATGACTTAGATCTCATCGAAATTTAAAACTTCTGCTCATTTAAAGGTATTACCTGAAAATAAATATTTGTGCAATATAACAGAGATCTCAAAGAATTTGTACCCAGAATATATAAAGGACTCTCATAACTCATCAAGAAAATATAAATGTATTACAGAAACACACTTATCCCATCATTCTTGCCACTTTCTGAAGCAGTTCTAGAAGTTCTCTTTTGTTCTTTTGTGAGTGTGTTTAAGAGGTATGCTCAAACATATGGTGAATGGTGCTGCCCAGTGCCATCCAACAGAAAAGACAGGGTTGTAAAAACATTATTGTGTGTCCTCATCTGCTTCACTCACTGGATGGGCTCTATGCCAAAGTCAAAACGACTGTAAAAAGTAAACATTCTGAAACCCGTTCAGGACATCAAGGCAGCTATGACAGAGCAACTAAAGACACTCAAGAAAGAGGACTTCCAGAACTGCTTCAGAAAGTAGCAAAAATGAGATAAGCATGTTCAACGCCAGGGGGAGTATTCTGAAAGGGATTAATGGCAATGTGTCTTTTATTGTAATGAACTTAAAAAAATGAAATGGTCACTGTACTTTTTGATCATACCTCATACCCTTCAGCAAGATAATAAACACATGAAAAGATGAATACATTCACTAATCATTAGAAAAAAGGCAGTAAAACCACAATGACATAATACAACCACCTGTAATAATGGTTAATTTTACAAATCTAAAAACACTCGTAACTGCCAAGGGCAGAGAATAGCTGCTATAAAGAAAAAAAAAAACCTCAAAAAACAAAAAACCAAAAAACTTTGAAAAACAGTATGGTAGTCTCTTATAAAATTAACCACATCCCACAATACCTAGTAATCCCACACCAATGTATTTACCCAAAATGAAAGCATTGTATACACTCTCAAACTGGAAATAATCCAAATGTCCATTAATCAGGTGAATAAGCAATTTATAGTAAATCCGTAAAATCGAGCACTATGAAACAATGGAACCCCTGATACTTGCAACAACATGAATTAACTTCAAAAGCATTATTGTAAGCTGAAGAAATCAGACACAGAAGGCTAACCCAATAGAATTCTACTGATAAAGACATTGTGTAAGCGGTGACTCAGAAGAGGAGCTGGAGATGGTAGGGAAGTTAAGGACTGGAGCCTGAGGAAACTTGGGGGTGGTGGTGATGGGAGTATCTTCAAGCTTGATTTTGGTGGTGTTCATGACTACACATCTACCCAAAGTAATACAACCAGGCACAAGAGTGGTTTTTACTGTTCATGATTGTACCCACATTCCTTAAAAATATAGAAGTTTGGAATTATAAATGCCAACAAGAATATTCACAAAAGTTAAGCAATTACAAACTGTAGAACCATGCTACAAATCTCATCTTTTGAAAAAAGGTATGTTACAGAAATAAAATTTGAGTTACAGGTAGTAGTAAGAGTCTACACAAATTCTTAGTGTATTGTCTGAACGTGACAAAAAACATGTATTAACTTTGTACATTTTAAGGTATTTTTCAATTTTCATTTAGTTTCTGGTAATTACCAGATTCATGTTAGTGGTTAGCAAATATAGTTCTAGAATAAAGGGTCTGGGCTTTGGATGTAACCCAGTGGGAGAGCACATGCAAGAAGCCCTGGCTTCCATCCTGATTAGGGGAGAAATTTGTGCAAATTTACTTAGCACTACAGTATGGTAGCACAGCTAAAATAAGTCTCTGACATTATGTCTACATTAATGACATAGTGCTGACAAAATATTAATGGCTAAAATATGCATGTGCAATAAAAGCATCAAATGAAGATAAAATAGAGAAAGCTGAAATGGGACACCCTGGTTAAAATCGTGGTGGAATTAGAAATAGCTATGGGCTTAGTATGGTGGCACATGCTTATAATCCCAGCACTTCAGAGGCTGAGGCAGAAGGATTATAGAGTGCAAGGACAGCCTGGGCTATGAGTTCAAAACCAGCCTAAATAGCATAGCAAGAGCCTGTCTCAACCAAAAGTCAGCTATGTAGAAAAAGAGTAATAAAAGAAAAACTGCCTAAATCCTAAGCACTCTCCAACTTCAATGTTTCCAAATAAAGTGGGACATATTTTTGATTGTTCATACAGTCATTGGAATATTATCAAAGACTACAGAACCATACAAAAAAACACCAAAAAAGTGTAATGTTTACAATTAAAATGATTTCACTAACATAAAGGAATTTACACAATGTAGGTAAAAGAAAAAAACTAATTTAAATCCTCTACACACAGCACAATACCTATCAGAACATTTTACTTAGAAAAGACAAATGACCCAAACAAAATAATTTTGGATTCTGTCAATTCTCATTAATTTCAGAGATCTCTGAAATAGCAACACCTCCATGTTCTTATTAAAGACTTGTCCATTACCATATAATGATAAAATGATTAGGTGTTCAGGAAATTCAATTATTTTTTTTGGTACGGGGGTGGGGTGGGGGGGTGGGTTGAACTTGGGACCTTGCGCTTGCAAAGTGGATGGCGGAACCACTGAACTAAATCCCCAGCCCAGGAAATTCAATTCTAACTAGTAACTTCAAATACCTAGCCACAAGCACCACAACCCAAGTTTCAGATTTCTGAGCATATCAACTTTCAGAATAAAGATGTTTGGCTGGTAAAGCCTATGCAAATGGTCCAAAATCTAAAAATCCTGAAATCCCAACACTTCTGTCCCAAGCACTTTGGAGAAGGGACATTCAAATTTATGGCATAAAAACAAACAGTAAGAAATTCACTCATCATAAGTCATTCATTGGTGGCTATTTCAATGCTTGAAGAAAACAGTTGAAGATTGATTAAAAAAATCATATTTTCTTACCACCGTTCCCCCTCCCAAAACAAAGTGACTTCTAGATCTTATGTCTAGTATTTCCACACTTAACAGGTTGCAGTTCTCTTTACCAGAAAACATGGTATCAAAGAACACACTTTGTGCTAGGTCCCAGCTTCTTTCCACTAGGGATGCTTCCTCCCATTCCTTCTGGAGATCCCCTCCTCACAGCTGGGCTCCCATTAGTCAGCCCAAGGCTCATTCTCATTGAGCCAAAGACCACATTCATTCTTAACTGCCAGTACCCCATCAATCTGGAACTTTCCCAAACTCCTGATAGTCTTTGTCTAAAGTGCCTTTAACAATCACAACACATCATGTAAAGGTACAAGTTCCCAGTGAGAAATGTAAATGTACTGTATACCTAAAATGTATCAATAAAAGAATTAATTAAAAAACAAAAACAAAAAAACAATCACAACAGTACTCTCTATACCATTATGGAGCAGTGACACCCAATGTGTTGAGTGAAAGTGTTGAAAAAGACTGAAGAACAATGGTGACAGAAATAGATAAAAGAGGACTTAAGCCCTTTTCTCAGGGCACAAAGGTAAGGGGGCAAGTTTGAGTTCAGACACTATTAAAGTGCCCAATCATTAACATAAACAAATGAAATCCTGTGCCTATAGCTACTCAGGAGACTGTTAGTAGCATTACTTGAGCCCAGGAGGTGGAAACCAGCCTGGACAACACAACAGCAAGACCTAGTCTCTCTCTCAAAAGAGAGATAAAGAAGGGCTCCTCCACGAAAATGAAAAGCATGTATTCATATTATGCTTTAATGTCTAACAAATAACCTATGTTTCCTTTATCTCCTTGAAGCTTGGTATTAGCATCATTACACAAAAAATATTTAGAGCTTAAAGAAAAGGAGATCAAGGTCCCTCGGTTGTAGTTTTAAGAAAAAATTTTAAATTGGGCCTCCTGCCTCTAGTGATGTCTAGTTAAGAATCTCTTTAGAAGAAAAGCCAAAGAATGAAGATTACAAAAAATTAATTTAAAAAATCCAACTTCTAGCTTATTTGAAACAATTGGGAGTAGTAAAAGGCAAAGGAATATAATAGGGTAGTAACACAACAGAAGTATAAACATCATTCTCAATATACCTACTAAAGATAAAAATAAACTGAAGCACGAAAACTGATTCTATTGCCAGGAGTTCTGGAAGAATCTATTTATTAGCTATTAAATAAGTGTATTCCAATAAAAAGTAGCACGTTCGTCAATTAAATTCTACTTAAATCCAGAAGCAATCCTTAAGTTTGTGCCACTGAAAAGAGGTGATTCACTGTCTTCATACCCACTCAACATAAAATAGGTGGAAAAAAGTCTTTTTGAAGCAACTTGGGAAATAATTCTCAAACTTGATGGTAGATAACCAGCAATACATGATAAAGAAGCTGTTAAGGTCTAAAAACACTGAGTATATGAATTTCCAGTAACTAATACTGAAACTTTTAGTCTCTCCTATCTTACTTTGTTCAAGCCAGGAGTTGCCTACTGACAATTCAACTGCTGAGCACTTAAGTGAACACTCAGAACAGTAGGTCTAGTTGTCAATTAAGTTACCACTGACTCTTTTTCACTTGCCACTTCTGATCCCAAATGCCGCACACATTCTGATTCACTCCATTGCTGATGCTTGTTCATGTTGACTACGTCAAGCCTGAATATCCAACAACCTGAACTACAGCAGCTCTAAGACAGGAAGCAATCCCCGTGAGGTCATTATTAATTTTTCAGCACTAAAGAACGTGTAGAGATTAAATCATAAAGGAAAAACACACAGGACTAATCCTAAAAATCTGAAAAAAAGAGGTATCAGCACCAAAGAAACAACACCCAATTCAACCCTAAGGTTCGGAGCAAACCTTTTTTTTTTTTTTTTAGAGCAAACCCTTTTAAAGAACACAAGTTTAGAATCACAAAGGACCATAAGATTTGGTGGGACCAAGTATTTACTCAAACTTTGTCCACATGCCCGAAGCTATATTAACTGCCAAATACGGAGGTGACAAGGAATCACCATCATCTTCCACTCCAGCTGGTTAATGGTTCCTAGATCCAGGTATCTGCAATGCTAACGTTTAAAAGATAGCACAAGATTCATTAACCCTACCTTGACCCATTAGTAACACGACAACCCTAAAGAAAGAAAGAAGGGAACAACTTTCCTATTCTAATTCAGGTGCGCATGTTTTATTTTTGTTTTTTAATAGGGCAAAGGTACACCGGGGCGGTGGCAGGGGGTCCACGTGGAAAAGGGTAGGCGCAAATCTACATTCGCCCCAAAGTAGCACAGGGCCACTTTAAGAAATCTGCTTTTAAAAACTCGGAAAATCCGATCAGATCCGACTATCAAAATGCATACAATCCAGGTGAGGTTACGTTCCTCTTCGTTTTCCTCTCCTACAAGAAAGCAGCGGAAGAGAAACCATTCCTCACAGCTCCTAAACCTCATTCCTGGATCAACAGGGGACCCGCTACCCTAAGAGGTTAAGGAGGCACACGTTTAACTCGAATCGCTGCGCCGGGGATGAGATAGGAAGACGCCGGGACCTGAGCGCCGTCCAGGGACGCCGTGGCCTCCACGCCGGATCTGGTTTCCGGCGCAGAAATGGTGCCCGGAGGCAGCGACTTTAGCATCTGCGTCGCTCCCCTCCCCCACGGGCGGGGCGGCGACCGCGTCCCCGTGGAAGCCGCGCGGCAAACGCGCCGGCACCCGGAAAGCCTGACCCTCACAGAGCCTTCTCGGAGCGCTCCTCCGGCCGATCGTCCCCTCCGCCCCGGGGCCACCAGAGCCCTGAGCCCTTTACTCGCCCCGCACGCGCCCGCCGCCTCCCGCCCCTCACCTTGGAGGACAGGCTCGGCTTTTCCACGCACACCTGGCGTACGCAGCCGGCGAGAACAATGTCTCCCGCCGCAGCCCCTCTGACTCCGCGCTCGCGCGCCGGACGGTTGCTGCGGGCGCGCACGAAATGTCCCCTCCCGGCCACCACATCGGCCTCCCCTCCGCCCCCGTACACACCTCCAGCCAACAACCGCGGCGGGTGCGTCGTGCGGGACGCAGCGGGAGAGTCGCCAAGGACCAGCCGCCGCGGATTCTCTTCGTTCGCCCTCTTCCTCTGAACAAGCCGAAAGCCTCGGAAGCAGCACAGCCGTAAGGTCCTTTCGCGCACAACAACCCTTCGCAGGCGCCTGGCGCTGCGGCCACCGAACAGGAACACGGACGTCCCGCCCCCTTGGCCACCGCCCCCTCTTATTGTTTTACCCCTGCCGAAAGGGCCAGGGAACCCCCCAGCACAACGCCAGCCAATCACGTATCTCCTTTGAGCTCCGGACCCAACCTCCTCGCGTCGCTGCGCGGAGCATGCGCAGTGCACCACCGCGCTCGCGGATACTCGCGCCGGAAAGCCGGGCACCACAACCGGACTGCAGCTGGCGGGTGCGCTGATCTGACGTCACAGGGGCGGCCGCTCCCGCCCCACCCGCGTGGTGCCGCACCTCTGCGCAGCGGCGTTCCCGAGCCTCAGTGAGTACGCACGGGGTCTGTGAAGGCTCTGCGAGATGTATGAAGGTGCCCAGCCCCGCTTTGGCAGCCGGGCCCTCACCTATGCTCGCTAGTAATCCATTCTGGGGAACGGAGGGTCAGGTCACGCGAATCGCTCACAGCACTGTGTATCCTGGGGATGCCGTAGCTAAGCCCTGGGGCTGCAGGAAAGCTACGACACGGCTCCACTGACAGAGGACTGGTGATGCTTCGTGTAACCCTAGGTATCTCGTCTGGCCAGATAGACACTGAGCGCCCTGCATACCAGGGATATAGCCTTGTCCCATGTCCAAGACTCACCTATGACAACAACAGCTCCTGACCTTGATTTGTGAGAAAAGCCAATTTGGCAAAGATACCACTTTGTCCTTTAGGCCTAGAAGTGTTTTCAGGGAGTATCAAAATAGCATAAGAATTTTGGAATGAAGGGTTGAAGAAATGGTGAAATAAATGGAAGATTGTGTGGAGAAGAAAAGTGAACAGGTTTATTAACTGTATGTACCAACATGATGTGGGCACATTTCATCAGTTTTCTTTATAGACCTATTGGGGCGATTTAACAGGTTTTAAAGATGTAAAAACAGGTTTACAAAGACAAGGCCAACATTTGGGCTACCAAAATCTACACTTTATAGATTGCTTAATAATTTTGTAAACCATCAGTTTTATTAAATGAACCCGAGATGGTTTTCCTTAAAGCGATGTTACAGGCAGAGTGCCTTTTAAATATAAAACTCATGTACCAGGCATTCTTGCGATTATTTATGCCTCACAATAACCTGATAAACTATGCAGTTTTTATGTTTGAGTTACACATTAGGAAACAGGCAGAGGTCAAGTCTTACTCTGTGACTACAAATTTCAAACATGTCCTTACCTCCAAGTATCTAGAATATCCCACTGTGTTAATCACAATTTACATAATCTCTCTTGTGCAATGCTGTTGTAAACATTTATCACTTGGTATCCTGGTGCACTGGGATGGAACGGTTCTGGAGAGCAGTGGCTCTCACACCTCCTGTGCCTCAAGAGTTGTCTGGAGAGCATAGTAAAAGGAGCCTCCCAAAGCTGGGTTGGCTTCAGCAGGTCTGTGCTGGGTCCTGAGAACTGGTATTTCTCACAAGTTCTCCCATGTTGCCACTGCTGCTCTAAAGGTTGGTGAACTTTACAGTGTGTAAAGGACCTGGTAGTAAAAATTTTAGGTTTTGAGGGCCATGTATGGTCTCTAATTCATATTCCTGACTCCCTCCTTATAATCCTTTAAAAGATGTAAGAAACATTTTTAGTTCTAGGAGAAAAACAAAACTAAAAAGAACAGGACACAGTGGCACACACCTGTAATCCCAGCTTGCAAATGGAGGCAGAAGAACCCTGAGTTCAAGGCCAGCCTAGACAACATAGTCTGTCTGAAACAAACAAAAAACCAAAACGGAATCAGGGTACAGGCAGCTCCTGTTCTAGGATTTATACCAACATGTGGAGTAACTGGGGGAAAGATGGAGCTATCTCCAATCTTAGTAAATAACTAACCTGTTTTCTTAAGCGGCAACTTCTGTCCCCTAAATGTCTTCCACGTCTCTGCCCTCTGAGTGTGTCTCTCCCTACATCTTTACAGGATGACTGCAATTCCTAGCTAATCTCCCTTCCTCAAAATAACCTCTAAGAAGCAACTCCTGCCCTCAGACAAGAGCTAGCAGGGATGGTATTCGTTCAGTGCTGTGGGGCTGAAGAGGATCAAAGGTGCCAGGGATTTGGCTCAGTGGTTCCGTCACCCAGCTCAAAAGCACAAGGTCCCAAGTTCGATCCCTGTTACCAAAAAAAGGATCAAAGGTGACTCAAAGGTTTTTTGGGCCCAGGCACTGAATGGATACCAAGGCTTCAGATGTGAACCTTTATCAAAAGTCTGTAAAATCAAACAAACAAAAAAGTAAATTCCATCTACTGATATCTGTCTTACCTATACTAAATGCTTTCCAAAGCTGAGTCAGATATGCTTTCCCCTTACTCAAACCATTTGTCTTACAATTTCATTTAACCTAACTTGTCTACTGATTTGACCTTATGAACTTGTCTAAACTGTACTCTGTGGCTATTTTGTATTCTCCCTATATCTTACAGTTCCTATGTTCCCTTTTTTATATACAAAGTTAATTGGCAGTGTACCAGTTGTCTGTCTCGGTTCAGTATCTACTTAGTAACAACTTAAGAAGGCCTTACAACTCTTGGATTCATTCATGCAGTAGGCACCACTAAATACACCTTATCAATCAGAGTGCAATGCTCAGAATGGGGAAAAAAACTGAAGAAACAACCTACAAAATTGGAAAAATATTTTTGCCAGCTATTCCATGGACAGAGAATTAACATAAGAATATATAAGCATAAGAAACTAAAAAAAAAAAAAAATTAGACCTCCAAAATAAAAGACCCCCCTCAAAGAAAAAAAAAAAGGGCAACAAACAGACACTTCTCAGGAGTGAGTGCAAATGGCCAATAAGTACATGAAAAAAATGTTCAACATCATTGGCCATTAGAGAAATGCAAGTTAAAACAACCTAGAGACTCCATCTTACCTGAGAGAGGATGGTTATCATCAAGAGATCAAATAACATGCTGGTGAGGCTGGTGGGGGGTGTGGGGGGCGTGGCAGAACCCTCCTTCATTGTTGGTGGGAATATAAACTAGTACAACCACTATGGAAATCAGTACACAGATTGCTCAAAAAACTAAAAATAGAAATTCCATTCGACCCAGCTATTCTCCTTCTAGGTATCTTCTCCAAAGAGGTAAAGACATCATGTTACAGTGATACATGCATACCCATGTTTATAGCAGCACAACTCATAATAACTAAATATTAGAAGCAGCCTATATGTCCATCAGGAGATGAGTGGATAAAGAAAATGTGGTGTTTACATTCAATGGAGTATTAATCTATCATAAAGAAAGATAAATGAGTCATTTGTGAGAAAATGAATATAACTCAAATCCACAATACTAAGTGAAATCAGACATACAAGCTTAAATATCATATGATTTCTCTTATATGAGAAACCCAAAGAATAAATTAGGGAGCAAAGTAGAGAATGGATGATAGGATACAGAGATCTTTTACAACTGGGAAGGGGACCAGGAGATGGAGGGAAGGGAGAGGGATGAGAGGAAGGGGACATCAAAAATTACGATGTGTTATGTGCTTGAATCACCTCTCCACAAAAAATGTATTCATTATGTATTGTAAACATGTACTAATAAAAACGAATATATAGTCTTCAGAGGATTGGAAGAGAGAGGAGTGTGGGAGGACAGAAAGAAATGAGAGAGAAAAAGGTAGAGTCAGAGAAAGGCAAAAAGGCAACAATTAGAATACACTTTCAGTGGGCAGGGGATTTAGCTCAGTGGTTCTGCTCAAGGACCTGAGTTCAATTCCCAGAACCAAGAAAAAAAAGTCATAATTTGGGCCAAGGATTTAGCTCAGTGGTTCCGCCACCTGCCTCGAAAGTGCAAGGTCTGAGTTTGATCCCCGGTACCAAAAAAAAAAAAAAAAAGAAAAGAATACACTTTCAGTGGTACTAGAAACACTGAATTTAATTTTTTGAGATAGGGTCTCTGTAGTGTAGGCTGGGCTTACTCTATGTAGCCGAGGCTGGCCTCAAACTGGCAGCAATCCTGCTTCAGCCTTCCAAGTTCTGGGATTACAGGTAGAAGTCAATCTCATACCTTTCTTGCCACACACACACACACACACACACACACACAGCGCCTCTCAGATGCAGCACCCGGTTCTGCCCCATGAGCAACCCTCCGCTGGCCAACCATTGTGGGAGCTCAGAGGCAAATTTCTTTTTCCTGGGTCCTACTATTTCCTTATTTTGAATCTTAATCCCTAGAACAGTGTATGGTTAAGTATTGTTATTCTTAATATTTTTTAGGCAGTGGGTTTTCCATTGTTAATAGTTTAGGCAATACACCATAGGTTTTATTCATTCTTTTCTTTTTTGGGGGGGGGGCAGTACCGGGTATCGAACTCAGGGCCATGTGGTTGCGAGGCAGGCACAGGTGGCACTGAACTAATTTCCAGCCCCTATTCATTATTTTCTAAATAAATTAGAAATATAGTTTAGACTTCTTTCATTCAGTTATTCTTTAAAGAGAGTTGATGGGAGCTGGGTTTGGTGGGGCATGGGTGTAATCCCAGCACTTGGGACCCTAAGGCAGGAGGACTGCCATGAGTTGAAGGCCAGCCTGGGCTACATAGTGAGTTCAAGGTCTGCCTGAACTACATAGTGAGACCCTGTCTCAACAAACAACAACAAAAAAGAGAGTTGATGGGGAATATCTAAATAGTTTTGATTTTTAAATTTAAATTTTCATGTTTGTTTGTTAATTTTGATGCATTATAGCCTGTGAATGCAGCCTAAATTTTGTGCTTTTGGGAATTTATTTACATTTTTCCTTTGTGGCCCAATAAAGGTACAACTTTTATAAGGTACCTATAAAACTTTAGTCTATTAAATCACCTTTTAATTTTATTCCTATTAATTTTTGCACTACACATTTGAACATTTTTTCGGAAATACTTTCACAGATTCTGAAGTGGCAAAAATAATTTTTTTTTTTTTGGTACCAGGGATTGAACTTTTCCTTGCACTGGTGCAGCAGGCGGCGAAACCACTGAGCTAAATCCCTGGCCCTGCAAAAATAATTTTTAAAATCTCATATGCTGCTCGCCATCATCCCTCAAATGTTAATATTCACTAGTGTGCTTTACCAGTCTCAATAATCCCTCCCCACCATGAAAATGCTCCGAGGACTCTATGTTTCAACTGTTTTGACCTCATTCGATGTCTATACAGTGCTGTAACTACTGATTCAGTGAATCATGACATTTCAAAGAAACCAATATAGCAGGTACTCTGCCAGACAGCTGGTGCATTACCATGTGACTTCTACCCATAAAAAAGCATCAGACAATAGTGTGCATTATAAAAATGTGTAATTGTTATGTATCAATTAAAAAACTATATATATATAATGTATATGTAATATATATTATATATATATATATTATAGCTGGGCATGGTGGTGCACACCTGTAATCCCAGCATTCTGAGGCTGAGGAAGGAAGATCACAAATAATAATACCAGCCTGGGCAACTCAGCAACTTAGTGAGACCCTGTTTCAAAATAATAAATGTTTTTTAAGGAATCTCTACACTGATTTCCATAGTGGTTGTACTAGTTTACATTCCCACCAACAAAATAGTAGAGACCCCTTTTCCCCACAACCTTGGCAGCATCTGTTATTATTAGATTTTCTCATGACAGGCATTCTTTCTTGGGTAAGACGGCCATCTTCATATATTTTTTGTTTTGTTTTTATGATTCAAGGATTTATTAAGTCATCATGCAAAACATACTACTAATTGCATTAGCAAAAGATCAATGTAAAAATACTCCACAATTCTGCAACTGCCAATTAAAAAATTTTTGTTCTAGTGGTTGAGAGGTCTGACATTGTGTCCCCACCAGTGAGTTAAGTTGTACAGACCATCGTTAGCACTAGCACAGTTTACAGAACCTCACAGACCTAAAGGAGCATCGTTAGGCAAAGCCACAACAGGAAGCATGTGTCGGTGTGGGTGAGGTAAAGACGGTCAAATCAGTGTTAGTCACGTAACTGTTGATAATCTGGCAAGACAGTGATGTTACGGTTCATAGTTTTAAGAATATCTAAACTATTTTAAAACTTGTAAGGCAGCAACGCATGATTTTTACACCTAGTTACTAGAAGACTAAGGAAAGCACTTAATTAGCTTTGAATAAAGTAACATGAAAACAGGAATGGACTTTTACTAATCTACAAAAAACTTCTAATGCATTATCAGATTTTATAGTACAAATAGGCATACTGGTCATTAAGAAGGGGTTCTATTAAAAAAGCACTAGGGGCTGGGGATTTAGCTCAGTGGTTCTGGTACCTGCCTTGCAAGTGCAAAGTCCTAAGTTTGATCCCCGGTACCAAAAAAAAAGCACTTACTAAGTTAGCAGCTGTGGGAATGACCAGCTCAAAGATGAATTAAATGCTCAATTTTGGGAAGGATGGCAAGTGTAGTAAAAAGAAAAAGCTCAAGACACAGATAATACCAACCTTTCTTCATCATCTACTGCACTTGACAGAAATTAACCTTACAATTTTCAACTGTGACAGTTTTTATTCAGTTGAGTTATTCCGTGTACAATGTAGCGTAAATTAATCTCTGGTTCATGTTTTGTCAAAACTGTCTTCATCCTTTGACCTCGTCATGTTTCACACACTCTACCCAGCACATGGACTAGGAGCAGAATACTTCATTAGGGCAAACACTGGAATGAGAGTTCTGTTCCAAGTCTCAGCAAAAGCTAGTAAAACTGATTTTTAAAAACCTATAAAATCAAAAAGACTGATCCAAAGAGTGAGCTGTTACACCCATCCCATTATGACATACAGTACGGAGGTAGGGAATGAACATGGGCTGAGAAGTTACTGATGAGTTACATAGCAACATGTCCTTAAGGAGGTGTTCTGCTTCACTCAATCTGAAAGCTACTTGGATAGTGTCTGCACCTCCTGATTTCAGAAGCTGCAGTCTTCTTACAAGGTCTTTCAACAGTTTAGTGCTTAGTGTTCTTAGCACAACACCACAACTTAGTTCGGAAGGTATTTTGGCAACTTTTAATCTGAGCAAGGATAGGGGCTTTTGAAAAATAAGGCTTTAAGAAGACTTGCCATTTTAGGGCTAAATTTTAATACGATGTGAGTTTGAACTCTTACATTTAAAACAAAACCTTAAATTTACTGATTGGTTCAAAATGGTTTTATGGAAAAATTCACCTGTAACAAAAACTTGGCACCGAGTGAGAAGGCTCCACCACTTTTTTGGCAAAGCGTACAAAGGTTCCAAAGGATAGGACCAAGAACTAAAAAGACTCAGACATTTACAACAGCAGGCATTTTCTCTTTCTCTTCTTGACAGCAGGTGGGCAGAGAACTGCTTGGATAGCTTCATCACACACTGTCTTCAGACCTCATTGGGTGAGAGCTGAGCACTCCAGGTATTTTTTATTTTTATTTTATTTTATTTTTTGGTACCGGGGATTGAACACGGGTCCATCTGTTTGCAAGGCAGGCGCCAGAACCACTGAGCTAAATCCCCAGTCCCACTCCAGGTATTTTACAGCACCAATCTCCTTAGCCATGGCCAAGCCCTACAGATAGGTGATGGGAGTCAGCTTCGTCTCCTTCAGTTTCTCGATCGTGTCTTTATAATCCCTAAAATCAAGTTTTGTTCCCAATAGGATGATGGGAGTGTTAAGACAATGGTGTCACACTTCTGGATACCACTTTGTAAGTACATTTTCAGATGATGCAGGACTCACAAGGGAAGAGCAAATTAAGAAGACATCTGTTTGCAGATAGGAGAGGGGACGTAATCTGTCATAATCTTCTTGTCCAGCTGTATCCCATAAGCCCAGATTCACTGGTTTTTCCATCTACCATAACATCAGCAGAATAGTTGTCAAAGACACTGGGGATATATTCTCTGGGAAATGCATTGGTTGTGTAACTCATCAGTAGGCAAGTTTTATTCACAGCTCTGTCTCCCACCATCACACACCTGATAGCGTGCATCTCAGTTGCTTGCTGACCTGTGGCTACATTTGCCTAGGGTTGTTTCAAATCCTTTTATTCTGTTCCATTGATCCTCACACCTGTTTTAGTGCCAGTACCATGCTGTTTTTTGGTACCAGGGATCGAACTCAGGACCTTGAGATTTCGAGGCAGGCAGCGGAACCACTGAGCTAAATCCCCAGCCCACCATGCTGTTTTAATCACTGTAGCTTTATAGTATTACTTCAAGTCTGGTATTATATCACCTGTTTTGCTTTTGTTACCTAGGAATGCTTCTGCTATTCTGGGTCTCTTCTGATTCCATATAAATTTTAGGATTTTTTTCTGTAGCTATTGTGAATGGTACTGTTTTCTTAATTTCTTTTTTCAGTGAGCTCATTGTTAGTGTATAGGAATGCTACTGATTTTTGTGTGCTTATTTTGTATCCTACTACACTGCTGAATTTGATTACCAATTCTAGCAATCTTTCGATGGGGTTGAGTCTTCTAAGTAAAGGATCATGTTGTTTGCAAATGATGATATTTAGACTTTGTCCTTTCCTATATGTATCTCTTTTATTTCTTTATTTGGCCTGATTGCTCTGGTTAGGGTTTAGAGAACAATGTTGAACAGGAGTGGTAATAATGGACATCCTTGTCTTGTTCCTGCTTTTAGTGGGATGGCTTTCAGCTTTTCCCCATTAATATGATGGTGGCAGTAGGCTGGTCATAAATGACTTTCATCATGTTGAGGTACAGACATTCTATACCTATTTTCTTCAGGGTTTTTCAATTTTTGTCAAAGGCTTTTTCTGTATCTATCGAGATGATCATGTGATTTTTGTCTTTGCTTCTGCTTATGTGATGGATTACATTTACTGATTTGCATGTGTTAGCTGGGGATTTAGCTCAGTGGTTCCGGCACCTGCCTTGCAAATGCAAGGTCCCAAGTTCCATCCCCAATACCAAAAAAAAAAAAAAAAATTGCTCGTGTTAAACCATCCTTGCATCCCTGGGATGAAGCCTACTTGGGTCATAGTATATGATCTTTTCTTTTTGGTACCAAGGATAGAACTCAGGTCCTTGCGCTTGTGAGGCAGGCAGTGGAACCACTGAGCTAAATCCCCTCCCAGTATATGATCTTTTTGATTTGTTGCATTCTGTTTTCAGTATCTTAAGGATTTTTGCATCTATGTTCATTAGAGAAATTGGCCTACAGTTCTTTTTTGGTTGGCTCTTTGTCTGTTTGGGGGACCAGGATGTTAGCTCTGAGACTGATTTGGAAGTACTCTTTTCCTCTCAATTTCATTAAAAAGTCTGAGGAGTGTTGGTGTTAAGATTTTCTCTGAAGTTCCTATAGAATTTGGCCATGAATCCATCAGGTCCTGGGCTCATCCTAGTTGGTAGGTTTTTTTTTTTTCTATTATTATTACTGCTTCAATTTCATTGCCTGTTATTGGATTGTTCAAAAATTTTAAGTAATCTTGGTTCAGTTTTGGCAATACATGTGTATCTAAGAATCTCTCCATTTTTTCTGACTTCTCCAAATGTTTGGCATATATGTTTGTGAAGCAGTTGCTAATAGTTTTCTGAATTTCAGCAGTGTCGTGATTTCACCTTTTTCATTTCTAATTGCATTAATTTGTATCTTGCCCTTTTTGGGCAAGATTGGTTAAGGGTTTGTCTGTTTTATTTATTCTTTCAAAGAATCAGTTCTTCCATTCATTGATTCTTTGTTTTTTTAGTCACCATTTCATTAATTTTTTCTTTGATCTTTGTAATTTCCTTCCTTATAGAAGCTCTGGGTTTTGACTGTTCTTGTTTTTCTAAGATCTTGAGATGTATCATTAGGTTACTGGGGCACATTTTGTTTTTCTGATGTGGGCATTCATTCTTATAAATTTCTCCTGTAGGACTGCTTTCATTATGTCCCATAATTCTGGTATGTTGTACTGGCATTATCATTTAATTCTAGGAACTGTCCTATTTCTTCCTGAATTTCTTTTTTGATCAGCTCTGGCTTGAAATTCACTTTGTCTGAAAGTAGGATAGATACTCCTGTTTGTTTTCAGGTTCCTGTTACATGGAATATTATTTTCTATCCTTTAATTTTTAGTCTACAAATTTCTTTTTGTGTTAAATGTTTTTCTTGTATACAACATATTGTTGGATTTTATTTCTTGATCCATTCTAATCTGTGTCTTTTGATTTGTGAGTTGTTCATTTACATTAATAGTTATAATTGATAGATACTGACTTATTCCTGTCATTGTATTAATTTCCTATTGTTGTTTTGCTTTCTTTCTTTTCTTTTCTTTTTTGCAGTACCGGGGATCAAACTTAGGGCCTTGTGCTTACGAGGCAGGCATGACACCACTGAGCTAAATCCCCAAACTTTGTTTGCCTTCTTTCCCTTGTATTTAATTATTGTTCCTTCCTGATGTATTCATTTCATTGAAACTTCTGGTATTGTTAGCTTCACTGTCTCCTTCCAGAATATCCCTGAGAATTATTTGGAGTGTTGGTTGGTGGTCATGAATTTCTTTAGGTTTTTCTTTATCACGGTAGTATCTTATTTCTCCATCAATTTTGAAAGATAATTTTGCAGGATATAACAGTCTGGGTTGTAAATTGTTTTCTTTAAGAGCTAGAAACATATCATTCCAGGCTCTCCTTGCCTTTAAGGTTGTGTTGAGAAATCTGTTATGATAACTCTGATATGTTTTCTCCTCTGTCAGTGATTCACTGCTTTTCTCTAGTAGCCTTTAAGAGTCTGTTTCTGTATTATACTTCTGGCTTTTTAATTATCATGTAGTGTGGAACGTGTGTGTTTTCTGATCATAGTTATTTGGGGTTCTATCTGTTTCATTTATTTGTATGTTAAATTCCTTTTCCATGTCTGGAAAGTTTTTTATTACTTGTATGAAGTTTTTTATGCCCTTTGTGCTGTCTAATGATTTTTCCTTAATTCCAGTTACTCATAGATTAGTCCTCTTTGAGTCATCTAGGAGCTGTTGGATCCATTTTTTTCTGTTCCCTTGATGTTCTTAGGGTATCTCTCATTAATTGATCATTGACCACAGCCCTGTTCTCTAGTTCTGACATGTCTATGCATTGGTTGCTTCTGCTACTCTACTTTCCATCATGTTTTTAATCTCTTGGATTTCTATTTGGAATTTTCTTATGGATTCCATTCTTTTCTATACTGAGCATTCATGTTCTGCATCTTTCTTTAGCTCCACTAGCTGTTTATTAATGTCTTTTCTAGACTTACGGATCATTTGTTTCACTACAGTAATTATGTGATTAGTTATATTTTCTTTAAACTCTCTAAGCACCTTGTAGACCTGTTTTACCTTCATTAGTATCCTTTCAGACCTATCTGCTATGTAGTTTATGATTTACTGTCCTTCACTACACCCTGTACCAATTCTGGAGGAGTTGGGAGTTTTGTTTTGTTTTTTTGGTACTGGGGATCGAACTTGGGTCCTTCCGCTTGCAAGGCGGAACCATTGAGCTGAATCCCTGGCCCAAGGAGTTGGGAGTTTTGGGAGGCATGTTGTTGCCTTATTTTTTCATGTTTCTGATTTTTTGTGTGTGTGGCCTAGTGCCCTGTTCTTTGGGAGGGAGCCACAGTGTTATTTATGACCCCACCCCCGCTGCTGAAAATTCATGTTTTGGCATAGAGAGAAAACCAACTGCCCACTACTACTGTGGGACCTTTTCTATGGTAGTAAATTCAGCAACAACAGTGGCATCAAATGTCAGTTGGATACTGACAAACCCTAGGATCCACTCATGAACAGCCCTTCACCAAAACAAAGAGGACTCTGATTTTAGAAGACAATTAGACTCCTCTTATATTGACCTACAGCAATTCACAGTACTGATTTCTGCTGGGTGTTGGCAAACATACCATGAGGCTAAATGCCTTCTTTTTCAGGACTGCCCCCTCTGATGATTACTCACATGGAACCTGGCCTCCCATGGCACAATACAGGTAGGTCCTGGGATCTGGCCCCAGCACAGATCAGTGATGACATTTTTCTCAACAAAACAAAACAAACAAAAGAAAAACAGATTCAATCACCAATAGTAAAGGAGTAAAATTACTAGAATTATCTGATTGCTGGTTTTTATGATAAATTTCAGCATAAAGTACTTACCTGACATTTTAATTTACAAAGTTTTTCCTCTATACCCTCTCACTGGACCATTTTCAACTGTACTGAAAGTTAAAGGATGAATCAAGGTCACACTGATGGAGTCGATAAGACGTGACTACATGCATGTTCAGTGGTTGACCTCCTCAGATAAGGAAGTTTATGAAGACTAGCCGTGGAAAGATAGGCAACTCCAAGTCCTTAAAGGATATTCATTTTTTAATTTTTAAAAAATCTGAGGCTTTTTAGCCAGGGTCTTTCTACATAGTACAGGCTGGCTTGAACTCGAGGCAATCCTAGTCTTCTGAGTGCTGGGATTACAGATGTATACTACCATGCTCAGCTAGGATGTTTTACTTTTTAAAATTTCATTAGTCACCACAGAGTTTTAGATTTATTTATTTGCAGTACTGGGGGTTGAACTCAGGGTCCTACAGATACTAGGTAACTTGCTTTACCATTGGGCTACATCTCCAGCCCTTTTTATTTTTTTTTGAGATAAGGTCTAGCTACATTGCCCATGGTTGGCATGAACTTGTGATCCTCCTGCCTCAGCCTTCTAGAATGTGGGAATGACATGTGAGTGTCACCATGGATGGCTCTTTATAAATTTCAGAATAGTTTCAAACACATTATCTTATTTCTGTTTTATAAGTAATTGACAAAATAGGCAAGCTTCACAAGGCTAAAAGTGGCCAATATAGAAAGTAGCTCAGGGTCCCCGACTCACATCACTGTGCCATGCCCAACTATGCAGACATCCTGGTGAAGACACATTCTTGGAGAATGGTGGGGCTCCCTTGGGATGCAGTGGCCTCCTTACGAAGCCTGTCAGTGAACAGAGAACCCAGTCCCTGAGCAGGATGAATCTGTCCTGTCTTAGTTACTTTTCTTGTTACTGAGACAAAATACTTGACACTCAAAGTTAAAGGAGGAAAAATTTATTTGGCTCACAGTTTGTAGAGATTTCAGTTCATAGTTGGCTGGCTCCAAGGCAGAGGAGAAACAATTCATGGCAGGCAGCAAGGCAGCAAGCAGCAAGTGACAAGTGGCAAACAATAACTTTCTCTCTGTCCTTTATATTCCATCCAAGTTACTCATCCTTAGGGTGGGGCACCCTCAGTCCTAACCAGAACCACTCCAAACCAATCAGTGAACTAATTTAGTAATCACACACCCTTGATCCTAGCATCACACACTCTAAATCCAGCCACCTCTGAAAAGCCCCATCTATAACTGCATGAGGCTTTGGGGGAACAACTAGACATAAGCCATAATACGTCCTTTCAGAGCCTAGAGGAGGGGGCTTGAGATGCCTGGAGAAAGAATGAATGTTTTCTCCCTGATCTTTTCTCCTTCTGTCTGTGTGAGGTGGAGCAGGTGAGGGCTGGAAGAGTGTTTTCCTCCCTGTTTCATAATTGGGAGTCTGGGAATGTGCTACGCACCATAAAAGTACAGAGATTACCTGCACCGCCTGCCCATTTCACTGTTTCTTCAGAATTCAGAGAAAATCACATCCAGAAATCAACATACACTGCAAGTGCCTGAAGGGTTACAAGGGCAGCTTCTGTGGCCTCATGAATTGGGTGGGCCTACCTGATACTCATGGAGCTGTGGCTGCTAATATCACGTCAGGCTGAATGATCTCAGGGAGGTAGAAGAGCTAAAGGCAAAAAGAGGAGTTGCCTGGGGTCCAGACAGTGACTCTGAAAAGACAATGTAGAGAGTTATCTCACCCTGCCCAGGGTGAACTGTGTATGCAGACAGGCCTTGTAGGCCACTGCTAAGCTGCAGGTGAGCAGTCTCCATTTTCAGCCAGGACAGGAAAGTGTCCGGGTATCTAGGCCTCTCCTCCCTGACTCCCCTCAGTAGCATGGAGAAGCCAGGCAGCAGGTTATTTTGTTTCTTGGGAAGGCCTATGTCTCTGTGAAATGGGATGCTGTCAATTTTTCCCCTACAGATGAGGCAGTGTTGGGGTCCCTGGGCTGGGAGTACATTGGAAAGTCCCAGCATGAAACAGGGCGCCAATTACCACTTCCTTCACTAAGTGCTTCAGTGATGCTGGTCGGGTTCATTCATTTCTCTGACCCTCATCTTCTCCTGGAAGAAGTCCACCCCAGGGTGGCTTGGGAGATGACCAGCATCAGCATAGTTTCTGGCCCAGGTCCCACGAGCATGACTCTTGCATAGACTGTAACTGAGTGACCAACTACCCAGTAAAGTCAAAGTCACTGACAGCTGGCCAAGTTGCCTACCTCCACCCACTCCTCACTCTTCCAAATTCAACACTGGTTGTCTGGCAGAGTAGAGAAGCCATGGCCTGTGTCTTTGTCTTAATCACAGTCACCTTCTGAAGGAGGGGAAAGGATACAGTGCCTTTGGAAACAAATTTGTTTCCTTAATTTTTTCAGCAACCACATTATAACACTACTTAAAGTAGTTAAAGACCAACTATGCAACTAAAGGATACTCATCAGGAGACAGAAAAGATGGAGAATCATTGTGAAACTTCTGACTGGAAAGAAATTTCCCTAAGAAATTACACAGCTGAAAGCTGAATGTGGTGCTGCATACCTGTATTTCCAGCACTCTGGGAGGCTGAGGACGGAGGATAGCAAATTCCAGTCCAACTTGGGCCTTTAGTCTCAAAATAAATAAAAAGGGCTGGCTGGGGGTGTGGCTCAATGTGGAGACCCTAGGTTCAATGCCCAGTACTGCAAAAAGGAGTGTGTCTGTGCTGGGGATGTGGCTCAGTAGTACAGCAATCCTGGGTTCAATCCACAGTACATCCAGCAGGACAAAAAAAGAAAAAAAAAAGAAAGTAGGCAGCTGACAGGCACAGTGAGAGCTTTGGTTTTGTTCTCCCTTCAGGGTATAGCCAACCTCCTCATTTCTGTCAGCATCAGCCCTGTGTCCAGTCTCACAGTTCCAGGGCTGCTTCTGGGTGACCACAGATACTGAAGGGTCAGCATGATGTGGGAACCTCCTTGGGAACAAGATGCGGTCCAGACCCTAGAGCATGATGCTAAACTGCCCCGGGTCTTGGAGGTTCCTTGTGAAGGGAATGGAGCTGAGAGTCCCTGTTCAGAGGCAATGTCTGCACAGGAAAGCAGGCCAGGGAAGAGACGGGCATAAAGCAGCCATATCAGAGCACAGGTTTTATTTTGTTTGCTTCTTTTTGTCCCCTCCTCTAAGCCACCAAGAGCTCTAGGGCATCCAAGAGACTTTCAATCCTTGTAGTAAAGGAGTAACAAGCCCACTGCAGACAGGCAGGTCTGCCCACGCCCTACCCAGGTCGCGAGTCGCAGGGAACATGCTGAATCAGCCCATTGCAGACAGGCAGGTCTGCGCACGCAGTATGGAGGTCACGAGTAGCGGGGAACACGCTGAATCAGCCCATAACAATGCACTAACCCCCCCCCCC